ATGTATAAAATCTGCATTTTAATAGATTCTCTACTCAAAGAAAACTTTAGTCCAACTAGTTTTATTTTGTGCATTATTTATATCTGTAAATTAAAAATAACCAACTTCAGAAGGTTTGCTTTTTTATTTTCTTTGTTTATAAATTCAGACTAATATCACTACCTCATTTATAGTTAAATGTTTTTTTAGACTCTAATATTTCATTTTGACATCTCATTAAAAGTGGGCTCAAACCCAGAAAATATGATCCTGTTATAGTGTATAATATATGGCCTGGTCTATAACATAATACAATTTTGTTTAATGATATAGAATAATTTCTCAGAGTTTTGAGTTTAGAAAAATGGCAGAAAGTTAGCATGGTAATTCATGTGGCTAAGTATGGCAATGTTAAATGTTTACATGGGAAGTACTCTTGGGAAAAATAATTGGTGCTTAAAACTTGTACAGATTTGACAGCCTCTCTTCACTTCATTTTTCATCCTAAAGAAGTCTGCAAATATTCTTAGCTCACATCATTATTGCACATCAGTGGTTCTAATTAGCTAAACAGGAGTTTGTCTCAGTCATTGATCATCATCAGCTTCCTGACAGTGTCTTTATTTTTTTTAAGGAATCTTTTTTTTAATGTCTTGTAAGTACATAGAAGTACATGTATTAATTGAATTGACCAGATAGGCTGGTGGCATTATAAACATGAAACAACATTTAAAAATCTTATTTTTTCAGGTAAAGAATATTGTATTTCTTTTACAGCACCATTTAATCTTGGGAACAATTTTCTGTTATGAAAATGTTAGACTCCCATGCCACCAGGAGGAGCTGCTAGACAAATTGCCATGTTTTGAGTTGTGATTATATTTTAATTTCAAAATTATAACATAGTAGTCAATTTGGGAGGTTTTTGGTTATGAGATATACTATTCAGGTATCTTTTTGAAGTTTTTATTTTATGTGACACTTTATGACCCATTTTTTCAATATTAGGTCACTCAGATTAATTTATTGAGAAGTCTTACTGTTATTTTGGTGACTCTCACACTTTAGCATACATCAGAATTGCTTGAGATCTTGTGTCTTAATCAGTTCTGGCTGCTAAAACAATCCTCAGTGGCTTAAGTATTTATTCTTATAGTTCCAGAGGCTGAGAAGTACAAAATTAAAGTGCCAACTGATGTGATTTCCGGTGAGGGCTCTTTGCAGATGGCTGCTGTTGCATCCTCATATGGCAGAGAGAGATCCTCTCTCTAGTGTCCCTTCTCATAAAGGTGCTACTCCCATTCATGAGGGAGTAATCCTCAAGACCCTAATTGCCTCCCACAGGCCCTACCTCCAAATACTATCACATTGGTTATTAGGGCATCAGTGTATTAATTTTGAGGAGACACAAACCTTCAGTCCATAGAACCTTGTTAAACCGATTGCTGGGCCCCCGACCATTAGAGTTCTTGATTCAATGTGTCTGGATTGGGCTGAAGAACATGCATTTCTAACCTAGGGGCTGATGACGCTAGTACTCTGCAACCTACCACTAGTTAGACTGTGAGTATGTGTATGTGACATACTTGTGTTGTAGGAGAGAATCAACCTAGTATCAAGCTCATTTGGAAGCTGTAATAATGCTTTTGTTTGGGTTTGGTGGCACATAATCTAGTATTATCCCTATCCTTATTAGTGGGGATCTTAGGCTTATTATAGAAGAGGGGATTATAAAGACTAAACCTACAATTTGTTTTTAACATTTATTTTAAGTTTAGGGGTACATGTGCAGGTTTGTAACATAGGTAAATTTGTGTCATGGGGATTGGTTATACAATTTATCACCCAGGTATTAAGCCTAGTACCCACTGGTTATTTTTCCTGATCTTCTTCCTCCTCCAATCCTCTTCCCTCCAATGGGACCTAATGTGTGTTGTTCCCCTCTATTTGGCCATGTTTTTCATCATTTAGCTCCCATTTATAGGTGAGAACATGTGGTATATTAGGTTTTCTATACCTGCATTAGTTTTCTGAGGACAATGGCCTCCAGCTCCATCCATGTCCCTGCAAAGGATATGATCTTGTTCCTTTTTGTGGCTTTGTAGTATTCCATATGTACCATGTTTTCTTTATCCAGTCCATCATTGGTGGGCATTTCTGTTGATTCCATGTTTTGCTCTTGTAAATAGTGCTGCAGTGAATATATGGGTGCATATGTCTTTATATGGAATGATTTATATTCCTTTGTAAACTTATACATTAAACTAATTCCTGGACAGTTAAAAGTAGATTCATGGTACATCCAGAAAGGAACTTACAGAGGAAATATCTGACTGTAATTAATGCTTTAACTTTCATGATCTGGGTCTTTGTCCCTGGGTAAACCCTATCATGCCCTACCTTTTGGTCTCTGGCTATTTTCCTCTTAATGTATATACCTCTAATAGATTTAGTATGTTTTTGCAGTACTTATGATTTTATAATGGTAAGTAATTTGAGGTAATATATTAGTGACAAATTATAGGCCAAGTGCATATATTTTTAACATAAAATAGTTGTATAAATCAATAAACACACTAAAATATAAAATGGCAGATATACTGATAGACAATGGCAAAACAGAAAATAAAAAGGGGTAGAAATTAATCAACTTTTGAAAGTATATTTTATTATTAATACAAGAAACAAAAGAAGTCCTAGTTGTACACAATGGATTGCAATTTTGTATTAAATGTGCTATTAATGTATGGTAAGTAGGAAATAAAATAATAAAGCAAGATAAAGTGCAAATGAGAAGAATAAATCATCGTAATGTATATGTTTGTAAAATTTCCAATGTGGTTTTTTCCAGTTCTCCACCTTTTGTCTGCCTACCTCCAAAGGGCTAAACTTGACTTGAGAAAAACCCTGAACCATGATGACAATGATCTTACATTAATTTATGACTACTAATTTTAAGTGGTCTTTAGTACTGCCTGGTCATAATCCTACTTTTTCCTGGCCCACTTACTATCTCAGTTTCTTGTTTCCTCTCTTCTCAACTTCCAACACTTCTCTTCCCATTCTTCCTTTCAGCTGTTGGATACCCTTGCTTTTATATACCATTGAGAAAATGGAAACTCTTTGAAGGGAGCTTTTATTCCTTCCCCTAAGTATATCTTCCAACATATTTGATTCTGTTCTCATGTTCTCTCTTTTAATTTCTTTGGAAGAACTATTTATATTTATCTAAAGCCAAACAAGCTGTGTGTATCCTTCAAGCCTCAAGGATTCAAAGACGTTGGACTGCAGTTCTCTCTCTCTCATTCATCATCAGTGTCTCTCACTGCCCTGGATAATTCCTATCAGTATACACACAAGGCTGTCTTATCTCCCATGTTAAAAAAAAAAAACTCTGGTGATCTCATGTTTCTCTTGAAGTACTCTGCCATTTCTCTGCTCCTTTCTATGCAAAATTCCTCTGAAGAATACTTTTCAGTATTTCTGTGTTTTTCTTTCTTACTTGAACTTTCTCTAATTAGGCTTTGTAATCACCATCCTCCTAAAATAGTTCTTGTTAAGATATCACTACTGACCTTAATTGATACAGTTTGGCTCTATGTTCCCACCCACATCTTATCTTCAGTTGTACTTCCATAATACTCATGTGTTATGGAAGGGACCTAGTGGGTGGGAATTTGAACCATGGGGGTGGTTTCCCCATACTGTTTTCGTGGTACAGAATAAGTCTCATGAGATCTAATGGTTTTATCAAGGGTTTCAGCTTTTACATCGTCCTCATTTTCTCTTGCTGCTGCCATATAAGAAGTGCCTTTTACCTCCTGCCACGATTCTGAGGCTTCCCCAGCTATATGGAACTGTAAGTCCAATTAAACCTCTTTTTGTTCCCAGTTTCAGGTATGTCTTTATCGGCAGTGTAAAACAGATTCATACATTAGTATTGCTAAATCCAGCAGTCATTTCTCCATCTTTACTTTTTTTAGTGTGTTTGTAGCAATTGATACCCTTGATCATTCCTTTCTACTAGCTTCTATTAGCTCTTTCTCTTAATTCTCCTCTCAAATTACTGGCTTATCCTTCTTAGTTTCATGTGATGTTTTTTCCTTATCTTATCTTAATAAACTATAAATGTTGAAATGTTCCAGGACTCAATCCTCATACTTCTTTATCTAAAATCACTCCCTACGCAAACCTATCTACTCTTATGGTCTTAAAAACACAGTAATCTGCCTTATCCATGGAGAATATGTTCCAAAGCTCCCAGTGGATACCTGAAATCATGGACAGTACTGAACCCTATGTACACTATGATTTTTCCCACACAGTAATGGGCAGGTAGTGTTTATAGCATGGATACTTTTGACAAAGGGATGATTCACGTCCTATGTGAGTCAGAGTTGGACAGTGCAAGATTTTATCATGCACTCAGAACTGCACTGCAGTATAAAGTTTATGGATTGTTTATTTCTGGAACTTCTTATGTAATATTTTTGGATCACAGTTGACTGCTAGTATCTGAAACCATGGAAAGTGAAACTGAGGGTAAGGGAGAACTACTGTACTTGGATGACTCCTAAATTTGTATCTTCAGCCTTAATTTTTTACTGATTCCAGACTTTTTAATCCAACTGCCTACTCCTTTTGGATGTTGATTAGGCATCTCAAACTTAGTATGTCCATATTTGAAATCCTTGTGTCCGACAGTTTTCTTTCCATATCTTAGATAATGTTTACTCCATTCTTCCAGTTGTATAGGGAAAAGCTTTGGAGACATTCCTGACTTTTCTATCAAATAATCCTGTTAGTGCTACCTTTAAAATATCCAAAATTTAATCACTTCTCAATATCACTGCATCTACTTATCTTGTACAATTCACATTCCTTTTTCACCTGGCCATTTCATTTTGTTTCAAACTTGTCTTTTTTCTATATTTTAAAGTGATATTTGTATTTGGGATATGAAAATTTAAAGTATTAGCTACCAATTATGACTAATAAACTCTATATATTTTTGTATCTAGAGAAAAACAGAAATCTGAAGCTAAAGACAGAAAAGTTCTAGAAATTCTACAAGTCAAGGACGCCAAAATACAAGAATTTGAACAGGTTGGTGTTACAATAAAAATATTGGAAATTATTATATTTGTTTTGGGTAGTAGATCTTGAAAATTATTTTTATGTTTTTGCAGTAGTGTTTATGGAGACTATCAGGGTTCTTATGTTAAAGCATTACTATTTCGAAATCACTAGTAAGATTATTCTTTATTATTAATACTTTGCTTGTACCCTGTTATTTGTTTTCTGAATTAATAGGCTTTAACTCTATCTGATGTTACAGTTTTATAATAGTATCTGGTTGAGATACTGTTTACTTCTTAAACTTGTAAATTTTCAGAATGTCTAGAAGAGATAAAAATTGAGATGATAATATGTATACTTTAAAAAACTTGTATTTTTGTATTAGTGCTGTATTAGGCTATTCCAGTGCTATGAAGAAATACCTGAGACTGGGTAATTAATAAGAAAAAAGTTTCATTGGCTTATGGTTCTGCAGATGGTACAGGAAGCATAGCAGTTTCTGCTTCTGGGGAGGCCTCAAGGAGCTTTACTCATGTCAGAAAGCAAAGCAAGAGTATACACCTCATGATTATAGCAGGAGCAAGAGAGAGAGACAGGGCATGGTGAGAGAGGTGCCACACACTCTTAAACAACGGGAACTCATGAAAACTCACTCACTATGTAAAGTCAGCACTAAGCCTTGATGGATCCACCCCCAAATATCTCTCACCAGCCCCCAATTTCAGCTTTGGGGATTACAGTTCATTGTGAGATTTGGTCAGGGGCAACTATTCAAACGATATCAAGTACAATCCTATGTCTTATGTTTAATCAGTAAATTACACAATTACATATAATTATATGTATATGTAATATGTAAAATCATGTGTGATTGTATATTCAGTATATAATTACTACAAAAGTACATGTGACCATGCTTCCTGGAAGAATTTTCAAGATATAAACATCTTTAAAAAGAAGTAGAAGAAATTTAAGAGTGGCTAATATTGTTATATAATATTTAAATTCATTTTATACCCAATTGCTCTTTATGGAGCAAATTAACTATAATTTTTCTTTGGAGGTACCTTTGTGGCAACTATGCTTTTTTGACATTTGAATTTATTTTCATTTCTAGCCAATTAAAGGGTCATGAGAACTTTGATCTAGGGTCAGTTGTTGTTATAAAGCTGTTTTATGAACGGACTAAAAGTTCTATTCCCTACATCCACCTCAGTTCTTTCTAAAAATGAATAGTGATTCCAATATAACATATAAATGTGAAATTTATACCTTTTCCAAAGTTGAGTTTGTCTTATAGAAAATGTCATAATTGGTACTATAATGATAAGAATAACATTTTAGTCAGTTTGTTCTGGAAACAAACAGTTGTATTTACCACCCAAGTATTAAACAATATTAATATATTCTCTAAAATAGGTAAATACTGTCATGTGCCTGGTATATTAATTGGATTAGGCTAAGCTGCTTAGTAAGTACAACCTTATGACCCAGATGTGGCCGACATCATTTGTATTCACATTTTACCTGAAAAAATTTGTCCACTCCAAGATTCAGGTGATTTGGGAAAATGTTTTCCTCAGTTACACCTCTATTCCGTTAGAGAAGGAAAATGGGTTTTGGCACTCTTTTTAATATCCTTAGGCATTAAGTTTGCAACACTCTAATGAATGCTTTTCAGTTTACCATCTTCGGATAACTATAGCATACCCTTAGAAAATGTTGCCTTTTTTCAATGAAAATATATATTCCCCTTTTATTTGCTAAGTTCCTTGTTTACTTCTGCATCCTTGAGTAGAGATTATTTCATTACTTATCTTTTTGAGTGAAATCACATAGCTTATGTATAACATATTAAACTTCCATAAGATAAATTATTTCCTTTGTAGGGACCCAAATTTCTTTAGGTTTAATTATTTCATTTTTGTGTAATGATGGTTATAAGTTTCCACAAGGTGTATTTTCAGTTAAGTTTAACAAAATGTTGTATTAAATGTATGTATTATTCTGTGATGGTATAGTAGAACATTCAGAGTTACATTTCTTGCCTTTAATGCTTTTTAAATCTCTTTGATGATTAGGTGAAGATAGAAGTGAGGTGGAAATAGCCATATTCTCCTACACTACTTTGTGTTTTCTATGAGGGCAGAGTCTATTTCTCTCTCATCCACTTGTCAGTCTCATACAGACAACTATATACCCAGCGCCTAATTATTAATAGTTATTTCATCATCGAGTCCACTGACATGGACTGGAATTATTAGGTTGGCAGGAATTAAAGGTATGTAAATGGAACTGTAAGGACTTGATAGTCATTTTGAAAATCACTCTTAGGTTTTCAATTAGAGAAACCAGGAGAACAGTGGGATTATTATCAAAAAGAGGGTTATTTACAGGAAGTAAAATTGTTTTGAAGGTAAAGTTTTGAGCTTCCTTTAGATAGTTTGTGTTTTAGGTGTTGACGGGAATTCCAGTTAGAGATTTTTAGCAAACTGTTGGAAGCATGAATGGAGTTTTGACCTGGAGATGTGGGTATATAATGGTTTAATTAGAGAGAAGATTTTAAGCAGTGAGAATTTTGAGAACAAGATATTTGCTGATATTTTTTATGAGGAAGGGAAAATTTTAGTAAAAGAGATGGAAAGACTTTAGGGAAGTAAGGAGAGAGTACAATGCAGTGTCTCATAAATTGAGAAAAGAGAGTTTCAAGAAGCAAAAGGTTGTCATTGTTGTAAAATGCTACAAAAACTGGAATAGGTTTTTGAAAAAGATATTACATTCAGTAGTCATGAAATTTTTGAATCAATTTTAGAAAGCAATACAAGGGGAATGGCATATGAAATTTTAAGAGATCATTGAATTCTGACAATGTAATGGAAATGAGTGAAGAAATGTGACATTATGGGGTAGGGAAAGACAGGGATAGATTGATTGACTGATTGATTTTAAGTAATAGCTCACACAGTTGTGGGCTGGCAAGTAACTCTGCAGGGCAGTTTGGCAGAATGGAGATCTAGGGAAGAGTTCATGTTACACTGCAAATCCTATGGTAGTCTGGAGGTAGAATTTCTTCCTCCTCTGTGGATGATAGTATTTTCTTGAACCCTTCAAATGATTGGGTGAGGCCAGCCCATATTATGAAGGGTAATCTGCTTTTTTCAAAGTCCATTAGTTTAAATGTTAACCACATCTAAAGAATACTTTCACAATAAATAACATCTAGACTGATGTTAGATAAGAACCTGTGTACCATGGGTAGCTTAGCCAAATTGACATATAAAATTAACCAAATGGGTAAAAGGAGCTGGGGTAAATAGGTTTTAGGTTTATCTGCCTAGAGATTACACTGTGTCCATTGTTTGCTATGGTATGAGTTAGAGGCAAAAGTTTGGTATTCTTGTTTTTTAATTTCAATTTTTGTAGATACTTTGTAAATATCCTTGATATGCATAGTTCTTTCTGTTTTCTTAAAAAGAAAAACTTTACACAAATTAAATTCAATGTAGTTTAATTGAGCTATAAAAGAATTCTTGAGTTTGGTACCACTCAGGACCAAAAGTGGTTCAGAGAGCTCTGCTCCACAGTATGGCCTGGGACTATGTATAGCCAGAGAATGGAAGTGAGAAACAGAAATAGCCAGATTGGTTACAGTTTGGTGTTTGCCTTATTTGGACATGTTTTGGCAATTTGCACTTGTGATTGACTGAATGCTTGGCTGCTGTAATAGGCTGAGACTCGGCTACTATACAAGAATATACTCTCAAGTAGGGTTGTGCTTGTTTACATATTGTTAGGTTATAGTTAGCTACCTACAGAGGCAGTTTAATTTAATAGTTGCTATTTAAACTGCATTTTTTTGGTCAAACTTACTGATTATACAATAATCCTATTGATATGGTGGTAGGGTGTTGGAGGAGGAGAGGAAGCGGTCTGTAGTGTTATGTTTGGGTTTCAGTCTTTTGGGGGGCTGTGCTTCTGGACTGTGACCTTCTAAATTCTTCTCAGTTTTTTTTTTGTCTCCCCCCTCCCCTTACCCCCTTAGGAGAGATAGGAAGGCTAGAAGGTGCTAGATTTGGGTATTTCCCTTCCCCAAGTTGGTTAGTTAGGCTCAAGTAAAATCCCATGAGTCTGGGCTCTGGTAAAATAGGTTTTCTTGGCAGACATTGGTAAAAAGAAAAGAATAGTCTCAGTGTGTTTAAAGATGGTTACTTTCTCCCCCCACATATTGGAAACAGGAAGGAATTATTGTCCCATCTTCCTTGTGACAACATGACAGGGGTCCAGTAGGTTAAATTTATGAAAATGTGTCACCTCTTACTATTTGATGGTTCCTCTGAGTGCTGTTTGCCTCCTTTGCCTGATGATGACTGGGCCATCCTTGAATTTTAAACTCTCAGACTTGTCCATATTGATCTTCTAACAATTCATTAATTACAGAATGAGTTTTGTTTCTCCCCTCTGGTGCTAGCTCCTGTGGAAACATTTTCTCCTGGGCATCTGTTCCATTAAGTTGTTATTCTATTTGCCTGTCTGTCTTTTCAATTTTGGGGGCATTGGCTTGCTGGATAATCTCGGTTCCCTAGTGGATCTAAAAAGAGTTGTTGATTTTCAGTTTGTTTAGCTTTTTTTCTTATTGTGTAAATGGGAAAGATGACTTCCAAGTTCCTTATATGCTGGACTGTTAACCAGAAGTCACGCCATTGAATTTTTGTTGTTCCACTGAAAAATATTAAATAGCTCCTAATTTTCAAGTTTAATAGCTATAAGATAGAGTAAGAATTAGAATGACAAATCCTTTAGCTTATTTAAATCTTCTATATCTATGAAATTACTACAAAGTTACACACTTTTTTTTAGCTGATTGGAGAAAGTCTTTCATAGAGTGCAATCTAATAATTATTAGTGTAAAGAATTGCCATGTTTTTTCTTTTGGTAAGACTATGTTTTAGCTTTGTCACTGTTATAAAATAATGTAGTACATTTCCCTTCTAGTATTGTGCTTAATAGCATGACTTATGATAGTCTAGTATACTGTATTTAATTAGATGATGATTGCTTTTTAACATTATGTTTCCTTTTTTCCTTACCTTCTAGGAAGCTCAAAAGTTTCATTTCCTAATTGCAGTTGCTTTTTTTATCCCTTCATTTTTCTCCACTTATCACTGTTTTAGTTAAATTGTGGTTTAATTACTGCTTTGTTTACTTTTTTTGTTAAAACTTTCATGTCCATTTTGAAAATAGGTCGGTATAAATAATAAATTAACTATGCTGAAGTATTGCCTAACAGTTTGGGCCTTATGCTCCTTTGCCACCCCCTACACATTTTTATCCCTGCTTCATACTTGCTATTATTCTCTTGTTACTCTATAGACTTCTCTTGACCATTATTTGAATTATTCATTTCATGGCTTATCTGTAATAAATTATTTTTTCCAGACATTCTCTCTTGTCACCCCTTATTGCTTTATGGTTCCTTTGAGTTGTGTTTACTATTTTAATATTAACTCAAGCCAGACTAATAAGAATTTACCTACCTCTGTTCAGAAAGTTTTGTTGAAAAATATTAATAAAGCTAAATTTTAAAATGAACTTTAACTGTATATATCTGTGCTTTCATTATTTAGATTATCGAGGACATATTTTATTAGGAAATTGTGTTGATTTATACAAACTTTTACACTTTTTTAGAGTTTATCAGTGCTCTTGTATTGGGAAAGAATCTTTGTCTAACTTATTACTTTAATGATTTTGTGATACAAGAAACTATATTATGCAATGTAAACTAATTCTCAGAATATGATAGTTGTAGTTAAAGTTTTTTTCTTATTACGCTTTTAAATTTACAAACTGAGTCTGTGTTTGTCCTTTTGAATTACTATTCTAAGTTAACGCAAGTGCCCAAATCTAATTTATTAAATAATTTTCATGAAAGGACTCACTATTGATATCATTTATGTTGTCAGTGCCTATTAAATTTAGTTCACTTTAGTGGGAAAATCCTTTTAAAACTTGTCAATTGGTCAGTGTTCTCTCCTTCCTAGAGTTTAATTTCCTGAATAGACAAGAGATGCTCAATTTTTGTCATTTCTCCTTCAAAGCATAGGCTTATGGGTCTTTTACAAACAGTTTTAATGCTTATATTATTGAATTTATTATTTAGTGTCAATCTCATCTGTAAACACTTAACAATCTAGTTTGGAAGATATTATGAGTAGATAGATAGTTAGCAACACTAGGTAGTTTGTTATGTATCAAATGAACAATATAGATAATATAAAAATTTAGAAATGGCAAGAATTACAAAATACTGGGATTCAGTAAGGGAAACTTTTATTGAGGAGCTGGAAATAGAATCTTAAAGGGGCATAAGACTTAGCTGAGAGTAGAAAAATTGATTATAAATTGTGGATGAGCCATTTTTATGCATCTATTTTTATGTTACTTGATTGATGTCAGGCACATTTTGATATGGCCTAGTAATGAAAACAGGACATAAAAGTTAAAACTGAGATGCCATTTGTACTTACTGGATTAAAAAAAATTTCCAACCCTGAGAGTTAACTGTTGGTAGGGAGGTAGAGTAATGAAAACTCTTGAAGTGCAAATAATCGTTGACTTAGCAATTTCACTCTAAGTGGATATAATCCAGCGAAGTGTTCTTCATACTTTTATTAATATGACCCTCACACTGAAAAAAGTACATTCTACTTCATGACCCAGTAAACACACATGAAATAAAAATTTCATATAAGTTATTTTTACTATGTATAATTAAGATAAACATATGCAAATGTTTATATCAAATGTGAGTTTACTAATATTTAAATACAATAAAAATCTTAAACATAAGAATTTAGAAAATAATTATAAAGCATGTCTGTTTCATAAGTTTATTCCTGTAACTATAGTTTCTTTGCTCAGAATGTGTGGCTATTAACTTGATACTTTCTGTTGTATATTACATTAAAAAAATACTGATTATGGTAACTAAACTGATTTAATGACCCATTACTAGATGGTAATCTGCAGTGTGAAAAACACTGCCTGGGAGAAATTCTTGGTCATGAATACTTGGAATCATGCTTAAGAGTGTTCATAGCAGCATTGTTTCTATACCCCTTTACCTTAAATGGGAAACAGCTGAAATACACACCGATAAAAGATGGATAAATATAGCATATTTTTCTGATGGACTAATACTATATATGAAGGTAGTTGATCTACAGTTGCATTTATTATTATGAATAAATTTGGGAACATACATTGAGCAAAAATAAGCTGTATAATATGTATAGTATGATTTAACTTAAATTTAAAAATAAGCAAAATTATATACAGTATTTTAAATAGGGACATATATCTGTCTCTGAACTATAAAGAAAAGCAAGACAAAGATAAGAATCAGGGTTTCAGGATAATGCTTATTGTTGGAGGGAATAGGAGGTATTAGAGGATAAAGGGATATACATGAGATATCAAAGATAATGATACAATTTTGTTTCCTTGCTGAATGTTGGTATGTACAGGGCCCACTCCTTTTATTTCTTTTAAGTATAATAAATCAATAGTATTATACCTTTAAAAATTAGAGTATTCGGGTTAACTCAGCAGGCTGAGCTGGGAAGACTGCTTGAGTCCAGGAGTTTGAGAAGGCAATGTAGTGAGACCTTGTCTCTACGAAGAAAATTAAAAATTATCTGGGTTGGTGACACATACCTATGGTCCTAGCTACTTAGGAGTTTGAGGTGGGAGGATCCCAGGAGTTCCAGGCTGCAGTGAGCCATGATTGTTCCCCTGCACTCCTGACTGTGTGACATAACAGAGTGAGACCCTGTCTCTAAAAAAATGAAATAAATAAAATATAATATTGGATATATTTTCACTTTATTCCTAAAACTCAATCCATTTTTCATTCTGTTTCTGAATCTTCTCCTCATTTTTGGTTTATTTCCAAGTCCTTTGGAGGCAATTTGATAAAGAGGAAATATGAGAGTATAAAATAAATTGATATTTAGGGATCAGCATCAATGATAGCTCAGAGATGGAATAAAGTCTACTGAGTGTAATACTTAAAAAAATGTGTTTCCATCTTGATGTGTCTCTTTCTTGGTTGACAGACAAATGGTGTTATTGAGTCTGACTTGGAGGCTTCCAATAATTGCATCAGGCTGGATAGTATGTGCTTAATAAATGTTAGTTGAAAGAATGGATGGATTGATAAAAGTTGAAGAAGTTTAGGAAAGAGATAAAATCAGGATATGGATTTCATTTTTAACAAGTTAGTTTGAGGTAGTAGACAGTCCAAAGGGGAAGGTCTTGTATAGCTGGAAGTATGAGACTGGTGATTGGGAAGGTGAGGGCTGGATTATAGATTGGATAGTCTTTCAGACAGAGGTAGGATTAGCAGCCAAGAGAGGTACTACAGTTTTTGAGAGAAAAGATATATGGAGAAACAAGGGAAGGTAAAAATTGAGTCATGGGTACATCTACCTCATAGATGTAAGTTAGGTATCTCACAGGCGAAAAGGATGTTCAGTTAAAAATTATGGCAGTCTTAACATTCTAAATATTCTGTCTACAGAATAACTTCCCATTAAAAGATTTTTAAAGTGATTTATGCTTTCACAAAATCATAGTTTTTCAGAAAAGTTTCTTCTAAATGACATTCAAATAAAATAATAAGGAATTATGTTAGCTATAAATATATTTTCTTTAATTAGAATGTTTTGTAAAAAATCTTGTTTTTCTCTGTTACACACATGAATTCTGAAAGCTTGCTTTCTGAGTGTGGCTTAATATTTAGTGTTCAATTTTTATGTGTTCTTCAACCCAAATAGGCCCTGTACTTGCACATTTTAGTTAAAAATTAATGGGCATATCATAGGAAATGAGAATTGTGGTGATAGACATTATTTTGAAAGCTAGTTAATCCTAACATTAGCAAATCAAAATCTAAAACCTTTAAAATAAAGTATTTATTTTCTTAGAAATAATAGCTCATCAGTAATTTAATTTTTTTTCCACAGACAGAATTACTACTGAAACAGGAAATAAATGACCTTGTGAAACGCAAGACTGCAGTAGATGAAGAAAATGCTTTCTTAAGGAAAGAATTCAGTGAGTTGGAGAAGAAATTTAAAGATAAAAGTCAAGAAATTAAGGTGTGTTGAGTTGTACATAGTTTTGTGGGACTGTTGCTTTGAAGTTCTGCTTTAAGCTTTGTTAGCCTTTGTGGCACAGGAAGTGACAGGTTTGGAGGAAAAATTGCCTTAGGCCCTGCTGTACCATACAGCTTTCTCACATGCAAAAACTCTGATAAGGATGCTTTAAAGCTAGAACTCCAAGCTTTATAACTTTTAGATAAATAGTTAATGATGGAAATGGAGCTAAGAAAGCAGGAGTGTTGAATATGTGGCTTCTTGTAATTAGATTCTGATTGGGACTGGCATTATTAATTGATAAAACCCAGGTCTGGGAGGATATGTCTGTATGGGTCTCAAAAATAGCTGGGGACAGCATCAAAGGCAGCTTGATCAATTAATGGGCTCTTTGCAAATGTGTACTCATCAAAGCTGTCATCCAGTGAAAAAATATGACCCATCCACCTGCATGAAAAGAGCCCATAAAAGTACACAGGTGACCTTGGCTATCAAATATAGAAGAAGCTGCTGTGAGGGTAAAACTGCACAGTTTGTATTTGCTGATTAGTTCTCACCATTTTTTGGGGTTTTTTTGGTTTTGTTTTGTTTATTTGCCCTTGTGGTACTGTTCTACAGGACACTAAGGAGTGTGTACAGAACAAAGAAGAGCAAAACAGACTAGTTATAAAAAATCTGGAGGAGGAAAACCAGAAATTAAGTACCCGCTGTGCTGACCTGCTAAATGACCTGGATAAACTGAGGAAGCAGGAAGCACATTGGAGAAAAGAAAAATATAGCACTGATGCAAAAATAAAGGTATACAATGGGAATGGAATCCAGATTCCTCTTTTGAATCTAACTTTTTCTAGGAAGTTTAATACATGTTATTTTCTTTAAATAACAAGTTATATATTCAAATCCACCAGTGGGGCCTAGCATTAATTTATATTCTTTCACTTAAGACCCATAGCTTTTTAAAAATTGATGTTGCAAAGCAGGAAACTGACTTCAAATGGTTATCCTAAAATGTAATCATTAAAAAATAAAGGCTATTGCATTTTGAAATAAAATGTGTTTTCAAAAAACATACTTAGAATCATGGGTTTTAACTTTTTCACTTAAGGCTTAAGCTTACAAATATAGCTAGAATTTATTGCAATATGGTTTTTAAGACTATTTTCTAGCTCCTTTAAAATATAAACTGTAAAAAAATACTAAGCAGTTAAACAATACAAATATGTGGTTCTATGATGGTGCTTTCTTTGACTTTAAAGGGCCTTATTTATGGGAAAATTTTATTTTTATAGAAGATAAAGGTTACAATCAAGCTTTATAATCTTTTTTTATAATCCTTTTTTAAAGGCTAGTCAAGTGAGGCAGTTACATTTTTTTGATTAGTATATTTCAAAATAATACTTTTATGGCATTCTCTTTGTCTTTAGAGGTTTTTGTTAATTTCTTTTCTCATTAAATTATATGCTTTTTTTTAAATAATAGGTTTTGTTGAAAAGGCCAGGCACAGATTTTAGTACTAATAAGTATGGTGGTCTCCCTATGCATATGCCCCTAAAAAGAAAACACTCACACACACACTCACACACACACAGCTATTCACCAACTATAAGCAGTTGACCATATGTATCTGCAGGTTCTGCATGGGTGGATCAAAGTATTCAGAAAAAAAAAACAATTAAAAGTAACAATATAATAATAAATGATACAAGTAAAAAATACATTATAACTGTTTATATTACATTTGGTATTTTAAGTAATCTAGAGATGATTTAAAGTATATTGGAAGATGTGTGTAGGGTATTCACAAATACTGTGCTGTTTTATATCAGAGATTTAAGCATCCATGGATTTTGGTATCTGTGGAGAGTCCTGGATTCAATCCTCCAGGGATACTGAGGGACAATGGTAATATGTATGGATGTACGGTTGTGTATGTGCATGTGTGCAAGAATATTTAAGTTAGGGGAGAAGGATATATCTTTCTCGGTGTATACACCTTTTGTAGATTACTTAAGTCTATTAGTGCACAATCATGGGATGACTGAGCCATTGAGATAATTGAATTCTGGTGCATTTTCTTAATTTTTGTGTCAGTTTCTGCTTCTATGCAAGGTTTAAACAATTTAGAGATGTGTTAACTCACAGCTTCATAATTATTTGGTGGTAATTTTTATTTCCTTATTTATTTTATTTGAGTAATCAGCTCTGGGATTTGCTGCGACTTGTAGTTGTGTAATTTTTTTTTTCTGGTAGGGTTATTGTCTTTTTCTTAATTGCTTTTTGGGCATTCACTATTTATTTTGGATATTAGTACTTTGTATCTTATAAATACCTTCTGTTCTACATACCTTGAATAAGGAAACTAGACTTTCAAAAGTTTGTGAATTTTGGTAATCATTTTATTATTTTCTTCTCAAATGTTTTTGCTTTAAAAGTTTTATATGATAAAGCTTTCCTCACCCCCAAAGTCTTTAATCTAATTATGATTTATTTTTGGGTGTGATGGTCCACATCATTTACTCAATACCCACAGAAGCAGCAAGATTGTTCACTGATCTTCAGCTTTCTGCATGGTCATAAAAGAATTCTCACTGCTACCTTTCCGGAAAGTGGATCTTACAACCCTCATTCAGAGAGGTCCTTTCTTGTACCTAGAGTCTAAGAAGGATCTGAACAAACAGTCCTTTCTAATAAGTTTACTTTACCAGAGGATCATATGCCGTTGTCCTCCAGTCACAGTTTTACATGACTCTCCATAGAAATACACAGTTTTTCCTGTTTGGGTCTCCATTTCTGATATCTACTGTGTCATTTAAAACTTTGGTTAAATAAATTAGTTGTATTTTTCTCTTAATAATTTGTCTTTTATTACTGGGATGTCAGCCACGAACCTTGCCATGGGTAAAGGAAAATATACTACTTTTTCTTTCCTACATGTCCATATATTTTCATTTCTCTTGCTTATATACTTAGGAGTGAGGTTATTGGGTCATATGGTAACTGTTTTTAAGCTTTTGAGGAACTGCCAGACTATTTTCCAAAGCAGATGTACCATTTTTCATTCAGACACTATGTTTAAGGGCTTTGATTTTTTTCCATGCTCTCACTAATACTTGTAATTGTTTACCCTTTTTGTTATAGCCACCTCATGGATGTGAAGTGATATCTCACTAGGATTTTTTGTTTGTTCATTTGTTTGTTTGGAGTCTTGCTCTGTCACCCAGGTTGGAGTACAGTGGCATGATCTCAGCTCACTGCAAACTCTGTCTCCTGGGTTCAAGCTATTCTCCTGCCTTAGCCTTCCAAGTAGCTGGGACTACAGGTGCATGCCACTGTGTGTGGATAATTTTTGTATTTTTAGTAGAGATGGGGTTTTGCTATGTTGGCCATGCTGGTCTGGAATCATTGTGGTTCTGATTTGCATTTTCCTGATGGCAAATGATGATGAGCATCTTTTCATTTATTATTATCTTTGGAGAAATGTCTATTAAAGTCCTTTGTGTATATACTGGATCCACATTCTTTATCAGTTATATACATTGAAACTATTTTTTCTTAAATTCTTTGTTATTTTTTACTCTCTTGATGGTGTTCTTAAAAATACCAGTTTTTAATTTTGATAACATTTTATTTACCTTTTTTTGGTGTTGCTCGTCATTTTGATATATCTAAGAAACCATTGCTAATCCAAGATTATGAAGATTGACACCTTTATTTTGTTCTGGGAGTTTTATAGTTTTATATCTTACATTTACTTCTTCGATACATTTTGAGTTAACGAGTTAACCTTTGAATATGGTGTAAGCAGGCCTAACGTCATGCTTTTGTATGTGTTATTTAGTTGTTTCAGCACCATTTGCTGAAGAAAATTCTTTTTTACCCACTGAATTGTCTTGATACCATTATTGAATATCAGTTGACTGTAAATATAAGGGTTTATTTCTGGACCTCAGTTCTGTTTATTTGATCTATACATCTATCCTGCCTGTGCCACACTCTCTTCATTGTTGCAGCTTTGTAGCAAGTTTTGAAATTGAGGTTTATGTGTCCTCCATATTTATTCTTTTTCTAGACCAGCTATTCTGGGTCTGTTAAATTTTCAAATGAATCTTAGAATTATCTTTTCTCCTCTGGCCAAAAAAGCCATCTGAGAGTTGAATAGAGATTGCCTTGAATCAGTAGATCAGTTTGGGGAATGTTATCATCTCAATAATATTAAGTCTCCTGATCCATGAACATGTGATGTTTTCCATTTATTTAGGTCTTCTTCAATTTTTTCAATTGTTTTGTAGCTTTCAGGGTATAAATTTTCACTTCTTTGGGTAAATGTATTCCTGAATATTTTATTATTTTAGATGCTATTGTAATTGGAACTGTTTCTTAATTTTCATTTCATATCATTCATTTATAATGTATAGTATAGATACACAATTGAGTTTTGTATACTGATCTTGTATACTGCAACCTTACTGAATAGGTTAACTAATTCTGATTTTTTAATTTGTAAATTCCTTAAGACTTTCTACATATCATATCAGGACATCTGCAAATAGACATAGTTTCATTTCTTCCTTTCTAATCTGAGTGCTTTTAATTTCATTTTGTATTTTTCTGATAGAACCTCTGGTACAGTGTTAAATAGAAAAAGGATGTATATCTATATCTTGTGCCTTATTCCAGGGGCAAAAGATTTGCTCTTTCACCGTTAAGTATGATATTACCTCTGAGGTGTTTTGTTGTTGTTATTTTATTAGATGGAGGAAGTTTTCCTCTAGTCTTAACTTAGTGAGTGTTTTTAAAAATATTTATTATTATTTTGTATTTTATGGGTACAGAGTAAGTGTATTCTTTTATGGGGGTCCATGAGATATTTTATCAGGCTTATAGCACATAATAATTATGTCAGAATATTTGGGGTATACATGATCTCTTTTAGTTATTTAACCATGTGTAATAAACCATTATTCATTGTAGTAATCCTGTTGTGCTATCAAATACTAGATTCTACTCAGTCTAACTATATTTTTGTACCTGGTAACAATCCTCACTCTCCCTACAGCCTATGCTACGCTTTCCAGCCTCTGCTAACCATCGTGCTACTCTCTGTCTCCATGAGTTCAATTGTTTTAATGTTGAGCTTACACAAATAAGAACATGCAAAATTTGTCTTTCTGTGATTAGCTTATTTCACTTAATATGTCCTCCATTTCCATCCATGTTGTTGGAAATGACATGATCTCATTCTTTTTTTATGTGAGAATAGAACTCCATTGTGCGTGTTTACTACATTTTCTTTATCCATTTGTCTCTTAATGAACACTTAGGTTGCTTTCAAGTCATGGCTCTTGAGAATAGTGGTGTAATAAACAAGAGAGTGCAGATACCTTATTGAAATACTAATTTCCTTTCTTTTGGGTATATACCTAGCAGTGGTATTCCTAGGTCTTACGGTAGCTCTATTATTAGTTTTTACAGGAATCTTCAAACCATTCTCAAAAGTGGTTGTACTAATTTACATTCCCTCAACAGTGTACAAAAAGTTTCATTTTCTCTACATCCTTGCCAGCATTTGTTGTTACTTGTTTTTTGGATAAAAGCCATTTTAACTGGGATAAGATATTATCTCTTAGTAATTTTGATTTACATTTCTCTGATATTTTTTTCGGAGTTTCGCTGTTGTTACTCAGACTGGAGTGCAATGGCACGATCTCGGCTCACTGCAACCTCTGCCTCCTGGATTCAAGCAATTCTCCTGCCTCAGTCTCCTGGGTAGCTGGGACTACAGGCGCGCATCACCATGC